CTAAATTGTTGCTCACCCTGTAAAAGGTGCTGTTGCCTCCCGATGTAGCGGTTTACAGAGTAAGAATACAGCTTATACGAATATATGTGAAAGATAACTATTAACCGTAGACATGAACAAGTTAGGGTTGTAGTGATCGGGGAAGCAGCCTCTTGGGTGTCGGTTGCACATTGGAACAGTTCGTGGGAAGAGGCAGCTTGAATGGAATTTATATCTCACCAGAGAAATATGAAGGAACTGAAAGTGGTTCAATACAAAGTGCGTAGAATTGGCAGGTCTTGGCCGCGAAGATTAAGACTAGTGGAACTAAGGCGTTTAGATCATATGAACCTTCACCATGGAAATAACGATAGAAGAACGACAGGCTTGCGTCGCCTCGTCTGGGAGAAAGAGGTTGTTGAGCTGAAAATAATTCGTCGCCTACAAGGACGCGAAGACGCTTTATCTATAGTTTAAAGTGAAGACCGGGCTACTGCCGCCTATATATGGCAGCAATACTCCATTTTTAGGCCGGAGCCCTCTCTTGTAAAAGTGCCGGATACCAGGAGGGGTCAGTTACTTGCTGAAGCGGTACAGCTAACCAAACATTTCCCAGACATCATCAGCGATGGATCGTATGTACCAGTTCCACTTGAGGTCTGGATTGAGTTTAAGGCCCAAGAGACGCTCAAGGAACCTCACTGAGAGAACATCCGTTCATTACGATTGGTGATAGTTGAAGGTCACTTGCTTGGTCTTTCAGGCGTTGAATGTCATCAGCCAGTTTTTCTCCACTAAGCTGCTTGAGTTAGATCAGTGAAGAGATCAGTTGCCAAGCTCTGGCCATCGAGGGTTTTCCACATTCACGATGAATGGATGTTCCCTGAGGGAAGCCTTGTGCTTTGATCGCCTATTGTGACTCAACCCAGACCTCAAGTGGAGCTCATACATACAATCCATCGCTAAAGATAGTGGGAAGACGGTCTGTTCCCGGTACCACTGCAGTAAGTACCTGACTCCTCCTTTTCCTCTGGCTTTACAAGAGCCAGATCAGACCGAAATTGTCTTCACTTTGCAGTCTCGATAGAGTCCAAAAGCGTCTCCGCGTCTTTGTGGGTGATGAATTATTTTCCACCCTACAACCCCTTTCCCCACAGTCGCAAGCCTATCACTGCTTTATCGATATTTCCATGGAAAGTGCTCAGACGCACTGCATTTCCTTCTTACTCGATTGGGTAGATGGAAGTTCCACTCGGGCAGCTTCTTTTAATGAGTTGTTGCTCTGCTGAACCGACTCCCAAGAGGATGCTTTCCTGATCACTTAAGTCATAACCTGTTCAAGCCTCGTACTCTGTACCCCTCTACGTCGAGAGTCTCCCGGGCCTTATAATAACTGAACATCAGTGTAAAAAAATAAAGGGTTCAATCGGTCATGATGGAATATAACTAGTTTGGTTTTCGAGCCATTGAATTTAACCACTTAGATGTAAAATGGAAGAACTGTTCACTTTCCACCATGGATCTGGGAAAGAAAGAATTTCGTCCAGTTACCAGTAAAATAGTAGGGTATACGGGATGCACATTTTAGCCTTGATAGGTCAAACTGTTTAGGACAACCCTGGACTCAAAGCCATTAACGAAAAGAACAGGAAAACATTCCTTTATTTTCCCCAAGAATGATCATAATAATGCAAACTCCACACATATTAAATCAAAGGAATATGTGGAGCGCCATGATCATCTCGAGCCTGAAAGAAGATGATTTTTTTTTAAATAAATAAAAAAGAAAACTAAACAGGCTTCTATAATTCAAATGTGTCAGGGTTTTTATCTTGTGTTCGTGGAAAGTTTTTTTTTTTTTTTTTTTCTTTGGGTGTCGGGTGACTGTCTGTGCTCGCGTGTTTGTAGTTGCAATAGCTGGGCTGACATGCGTGGGAGTTATTTTACTCTACGAAAACTTTAGAGCGGGTGGGGGGAGGATAGTTAAAACCCACACAAGTTGACACAGACAATTTACAAAAAAAACAAAAAAAAAACACGCACCACCCACGTTGAGATTACCCTGTTAATTTTTCACACGCATACCCACGTCCGGAGCTTACAGGATGGCGTAATGGTTATCGGCGCGGAAAAACAGAATCCGTCAACCGTGTTCAAACACCGGCTGAGGGCGCATCATTTACCGCGTCTTAAATCCATTAAAAAAAAGGCATGAATCCAGTCTGCTTATCAAAAGGCTCGTCTGCTCGACATTTGATAGTGGAGAAGACAGAGAGGTCTGTTCAGGGATTTTTCTTGGTACTGGTGAGGAAATGATCATCGCCATGTAATTGTATGTGATATCTTGACAAAGGTTCGAACATTTAAATCTTTTACTGCCACTGGATGCACATGTGCCAATTTCAAAGTTCTTGCGCTAATCCAGTAAGTACCTTCCTCCTCCTGTTATTCTTTACATTTAGGAGATCCAAGTCAGACTCCAAAATGGACTACTGTTGTTAATATCCGGCCCAAAGCTGCCGAATACACATTATCCAGATTTTATAGTGTTCAAATGCCTTTACGCGGACTTATGGGTGATGAATTTTTATCCAGCCTACAACCTCTTTCTTACGGACGAAACGTCGCAAGATTCTCCCTAGTCAGCTGCTATATAATTGCAAATGTTCTGACGAGCTACATTCCTTGATTCCAACAGTTCAAACCTTCACGAGCTAAAAGCCGACATACCACCTACATTGGGACGAATTATATTCCATTAGTAAGGAAGAAGTGAAATTATTCCAGATTCTTCCCCAAAACCCTTATTTTTAAGATTTACAAACTTCAAGTCTAGGCTGTACAGTTATCTTACCTATATATCTTCATAATCTCCACTTCTTAACTCCTTACGTTCATACAAGCTTGTTCAGCAATCCTCTACCTTGACTGGCACTTGGGCTTTATACTGAATGAACATACAGAAAAAAAGTAATATAAAAAGCTAAGGCAACATGGCTATAATCAATGATTTTTTAACCGAGATTTGTTACGCTGTTCATTCTCATTTTAACCTTTTTTTAAGCATTTCACCCCAAGTAAGATAATAAAGCCACTAAGACGCAAAGGGATTATTGAGCATGAGAAAATATAAAAAAAAAATAAATAAGAAAAGCTTGTTACAGAGAAAGAATAATAAAAGAACAATAATTAAGAATAAAGAAGAAAACGATTAATATTGCATTTAAATTTTTTAAATGTTTGCTATAAAACAAGTACCCTGAAGAGAGTTCCACAAAAGATTCCAGAATTTTAGCATCCCGTTTAGAATATCAAATGACAAAAATTTAGACAAGACGTGATGGAAGAAACTGTTAGCATAGAATTTATGGTTACATCTAGACATTTCGATTGTAAAATGATGAGACCTTGCTCCCAATCTAGTACTGTACTTAAATCCATAAAGTCTAGTTTCCTTAGAGGAAAATTCATCCAAACAATTAGAATGAAAGTATTTATAGAAAAGGCATTTTATTTCTTTTATAAATGGCTAGGCATGTCTAGCGGATTCCATTCAATTTCTTTATACTTTTCTTTTTTATTAATAAAGAAACTGTTAGCATAGAACTTAGGGTTACATCTAGACATTTCAATTGCAAAATGATGAGACCTTACCGCCAATCTAGTACTGCACTTGAGGTCATAAAGTCTAGTTTCAGCTATGTGCTATGAGTGATACACGTATAGGCGATTATGTATTTTTCGATACATGACTGACGAGGCTTATTTTTTCCCGCAGTAGGTTGCCATTTCTTTCTACGGTAGATCAGTTGCCATCCAAGGCAACCCGGTCTGTCCTGCTATTTACCCATAGATATGGGGAGAAGAAGAGAATTCATTCCTTTCGCAAGGCTATTAGCACATAAGTGAATGTAATGGATGCGACTGGAAAGTTATGTGCCATGCGTGATACACGCTTAGGCAATCAAGTATCTTTCGAGGCAGATTTTTTGCCGCAATAGGTTGTCATTTCTTTCTGCGGTAGACCAGTTGCTATCCAAGGCTATAGAACCCGGTCTGTCCTGCTATTTACCCATAGGTGGGGGGGTAAAAGAAGAGGATTCATATTTTTCCCAAGGGTATTAGCATATAAGTGAATGTAATGGATTCGACTGGAATTCGAACTCGGCTCTCTGATTCCTCAGTCCGAGCCACTATCCATTACTCCTTTTTCATGCAGTAAGTTACCATTTCTTTCTGCTTCATACCAGTTGCCATCCAAGGCTATAGAACCCGGTCTGTCCTGCTACTTACACATATCTGGGGGAAGAACAGGATTCATACCTTTCCCAAGGCTTTTAGAACGTAAGTGAATGTAATGGATTCGAGTAATATTCGAACTCGGCTTTCCGATGTGCTTAATCCGAGTCGCTATCCATTACTCCACCGTGCCTCCTAGGTCTGAGTACCAGAAAGGAAAGCTCATCGGAACAATTACCATGAAAATATTTACAGAAAAGACACAGGAAACCTATGTGAAATTATGGCGGTGGAAAAGTGAGTGAAGCCAAGATGTAGGTTCTTCTTTGGATTTCATGAAGAATCTAGAAATACAGAACAGAAGCATAAGACCAGATGTAGAGTGCACTATTCAATGCGTGGACGAATGGTAGAGTTAGAGAAATGTAAGATCGATTCTGGTGAGAAAAATTGTCTCGCACAACACAGTGAACCAACTTTCTTAGCAGCAGACCTAGCAATGGATTCAATATAGTCTTCGCATTTCATGTCAGCTGAAAACGTATGTGGGGATTGTCCACGTCCTGAATGGAGAAGGCATTAAACAGCTATCTAAGAGACAATATAGATGGTACTATGTAAGGATTGAAATAGCAGCGAATATGTTGGCTGAATAAAAAAGCAGTCGAAAGAGAGAGAGAGAGAGAGAAAGAGAGAGAGAGAGATTTTCCTGTTTATGTACCATTGTTAATTGGTAAAAAGATTAACGTCGTCAAGTTACATTTTATTACGCTTCACATGCCATGAAGGATTCAGTATGACATAGCGGCGATCATTGTGAACGTTGGACCAGACACACTCGTGTTTGGCAGTCTGTAAACACGTCAATCACTCACTCCCCCTCCCCCTCTCTCTCTCTGTCTCTCTCTCTGTCTCTCTCTCTCTTTCTCTCTCTGTCACCTCGCTATCTATTTATCTATCACAGCCTACTAATATATATCTCAATTTGTTCCAATCTATCTATCTATCTATCTAAGCCTGTTAAAAGTGATCCCAATTCTCATATATATATATATATATATATATATATATATATTTCAATTAAAAGGTGAAAATATTTATGTGTTTGCGACGATGTCTTCTCGCCATTTAAATCATTAACCTCTATATTTGTTTTTTGTATGAATGATTCATGAATTTATAATATATATATATATATATATATATTGGAAAATTATAATATAAACATGGTATAAAATCACTACAAAAATAGCCATTTTGTTTCAACACTTCTGATGTCTTATCAAGTGATGGTGTTGAATGTAGAGTTTATTCCTTATTGATATATATATATATATATATATATATATATATATATATATATATATATATATATTCCGTATACACCAATCCTATACTTGGATATATATATATATATATATATATATATATATATATATATATATATATATAAAAAATTTATTGGCAAATTAAAACATAATTATGTTATAAAATCACTAAAAAATAATCATTTTTCAACACTTCTGGTGTCTTATGAAGTGATGGTGTTGAATGTAGAATTTCTTCCGTATACACTAATCCTATACTTTCAAAATCTTATATTTTATGTAATTTTCCTGATATAAACTATGTATTGATGCTTTTCTTCCGATGTTTTTGATAGCATAGATTTGGGAATTTATTTCTTTAAAAAAGGAGAGAGTATATATATATATATATATTTTTTATTTCGAACTAATATTTACTATTCTTTATTTTAATTTTAAAAATTGTTTGAATTCGTATCTTTAATATTGTGATTGTGTTTCAACCTAAGTTGAGATGTTAATATTTTTAAATATAGGTCAAGGTTATTTTAACTGTCTCCTTGAATCAGACTCTCCCACTTCTCCTTCCATGATATTGGGAGCTTGTTTACATCTATGTCTATGTTCTCATCTGCAGCTTCCTTTTTGTTCTTCTTTCTCTCTTTCTTCTTTTTCTCTTTCCTCTTTCTCTCTTCTTCTTCTTTTATTCTTTAAATGTTTAAATTTTAAGCTGCTATTTTATTTTTTCACACCTCTGAGTTGACAAAGCCAATAAGTTTGTCTTGATGGCCAAAATAGCTGTTCGAAAGAGGTTATTTTGGATTTCTATGTAATTTATTTGCTCTGTAATAATAAATACATTGTGCCCTTTTTTGTGGATCAGTTTAATATTTTATCTTATTAGGATTCCCTTGGATCATATACCAACGGATTATTACGCACATATACACACACACAAACACACACACATATATATATATATTAAGACATTTTTTTTATGTTTATACGTTTTTTTTATAGATACAAAATATTTAAGTAAATGCTCTGTTTATAATAAACAGTATTAACGACATCATTTACTGGCCTGAATGTCCGAGAAATTTTAATAGAAAAATGTGTCCTCCGATAAAAGCACGTCAGGCTATATGACAGTTCCGTATGTGATACAGGATCGATTCCTGTCGGAGGACGCATATTTTCTCTGAAAATTTCTCGGACATTCAGGCCGGCAAATGCTGTTTAATACTGTTCATTATAAACAGAAAATTTACTTAAATAAAGAACGTATAAACATAAAAAAATGTCTTAAAAATATTTGTCGGACTTTGCCCATTTCATAATGTGTCACACACACACACACACACACACACACACACACACACACATATATATATATATTAAGAAATGGACAAAGTCCGACAATTTATTTATTAAAGACATTTTTGTGTTTAACGTTCTTTTTATAGATACAAGTATTTAAGTAAAAAAAATGTCTTTAATAAATAAATTGTCGGACTTTGTCCATTTCTTAATATATGACGTCATTTGTTTACATTTGATACGCCATGAGCAGTTATGAATGTACGAGATTCATGGAAGATTGAAGTTTATAAGCAGTAAATTCGACCTTGCCAAACGAACGATCCTTTGTGACCGAGTCGGTTAAGGCACGTCAGCGTAAAGTTCCGTAAAGGATGCAGGTTCGAATCCTGTCAAAGGACGAATATTTTCTATGAAAATTTCCCAGACATTCAGGCCGGTAAATGTTATTTAATACTGTTTACTTAAATACTTGTATCTATAAAAAGAACGTTAAACATAAAAACGTCTTTAATATATATTTGTTTATTTAGGTAGTATATTTTCATTTTCCGGGGTTGGCTAAATAATTTCACACACTATGTCTATTTAATTTTGTTTTAATCCTTTCCAGTCCACGAATCAATTTCTTGGTAGCCGTAGAAAATTGATTAAGAAAATACATTTTTTTTTCAAATAGTTTTTTAATTTCCCAAGTACTTTCGGTTTCATCTAAGACCATCTTCAGGGGGTTAAACTGTCTGTGTATCTATATACGTATTCCTGTAGATTCAAAACAATTTTACTGTTCGTTTTACTGTGGTTGGAGTTGGATCTTTTCTAATTGATCACTTTATCTCTAAGTTGAAATGATTATCGTTCTTGTTGTAACCTCCTGATCCAGTTTTCCTCTCTACAGGTCCCGCTTTTTAAAAGTTATTCACCGTTCTCTTGATGGTTCTTGAACAGACATACAGAAGGTCGGTTTAATGTGTGGAACCCGAGCGCGTACACCTGGGCTAAGAACACAAATTGTCTGCAACCTCCGCAAACGACGGTTGCGCTATCCTCGGTGCGAGCACCGATCCCTCTCTCTGATGCAATGAGAGGGCGCGACCTCGGGTAGCTCTTCTTTCCCAAGGCTGGTGATCTCTCGGTATAATTTTCCTCATTTGCGACTCTGTCCTTTGACGGAGCCACAACTGAGCGCACTCTCCCCAAAGACAAAGACGCAACTGAGAAATAATAAATAAACCTGTTACAAACTACTCGATAAAATAATTTGCATTTACTCAACCCAACACGAGGTCAGGTTGGGACACATGTCGGTTTAATGTGGGGAACCCGAGGGTGTACACCCGAGCTAGGAAGAAAAATTGCCCGCAGTTGCGACACTATCCGTTCTACCCTTAGTAATTTACACGCTGAAATCTAAACAATTGTATTATATTAGGTTGGTGCAAAAATAATGACGTAGGAATGTCGTTTTTGACGTAAAGAGTACGTCAAAAACGACATTATTACGTCATTATTTTTGCACTAAACCGAATAGATTATCGACTATTAAGCAATAGCAGTTTTCAGGTTTAACTAATTTTTATATTGATTTTAACCAAGTATATTTCATTAGCTATTAGGTTGGTGCAAAAATAATGACGTAATAATGTCGTTTTTGACGTATTTTTAACGTCAAAAAAAAAATTATTACGTTATTATTTTTGCACCAACCTAATAACTGTCCTTCATTACTGTTCTTTTATTCGAGTATTATTTTGAGTTTCAGAGTCAAGAATATGTTTAGGAATGTCGTCTTATAGACTATTTTTCATTTTATTTTTGCCTTCAATCGCAGTAGATAGAATAGCCTATCATCCAATTCACAATACTCTCCGGTCTTTTGAAAAAGGAGATGTTTATTCTTTATTTCATATTTGCATATTGATTTTTAAAAAAGAATATTTCATAAATTAAGTGTCCTTCATTACTTTTCTTTTATTCGAGGATAGTTTTGATTTTCATATCAAAATTAGTTCTGTTTCGGAATATCGTCTTATATAGTGCAGAAATGTGTTCGAAATTTGCATTTTACTTGGCCTTCAACAAGTTGGCATCTATAACGTGTAAAACTTTCCTTAGCTATAACAAACCTACCCCCATATCCAAATCATTAATTTCTATTTCTATTTTTTCCTAGGAAAATGACCAGTTTATGTATTTTATTTCTGTCAAATTATTTTCTGTTAAATGTTATTCAATTTCACCATGTTTCATTTGTTTAAAAATGGCTAAAATTCTAATGTTTAGCTATCTGAATAAATACAAATTTTTTCTTTCATGTTTACAATCAATCTATGAATGAAATGTTCATTTAAAAGTTTTGTTTCAAAGATTCCAAGTAGTGAATATATCTTACTTTGAAAAGCGATGGCGAGTGGGCAAAGCCTGCTAGTAGATAATAAAAAAATAAAAGGACCTGTCGATAGACATGGCGTTAAGAAAAAATGACAAGAGATTTTGAAGTTAATTTAGGAGGAGGACATTTTTTTTCCTAAGAAGAAAAATGCTTATTTGGGTCTTTAGGAAAGAAAGTGTTGTAAACATTCAATATGACAGCAAGATATATAAATCTTTATAAATCTGCTGCGAACAGAGAAAAAAATTGTTTCTTTGTCTGCTTTGAAATGACTCAATATTCGAAAGGTAAAGAATATTATCCAAAAGAAAAACAAATTATAATATAAAACCCAAATCCGTCACCCTGAAGATGACAGACAAGCAAAAAAAAAAAAAAAAAACCAGAAAGCAAGTTCTTACAGAAAATCACCAAAGTCAACGTTTACAATAAAAGCCTTGAGTCACGACGCTTGATAGCTAGACCATTACTTGAATCGAGTTTTATAAAGTACTGGTGAGAGACTTATTTATAGTTGTGGGTTACACACACACACACACGCACATATATATATATATAGATAGAGAGAGATATATATAGATATAGATATATAGTTTATGAAAAACTAGGTAATCCGTATGGGTAGATCCATGGAGGATAAAATCCAGAGAGCTCAATGTAAATCCAGAGCAAATTTAAACATAGTGCTGATAAATTTTATCGTAAAATGTAACCACAACCTAAGACATATATATATATATATATATATATATATATATATATAGCCACAACCTAAGGCATACATATATATATATATATATATATATATATATATATATATATATATATATATACAATCTAAGACATACATACATTATAAAATTATATAGCCACAACCTAAGACATACGTACATACATATATATATATATATATATATATATATATATATCTTAGGTTATATATATATATATATATATATATATATATATATATATATATATATATATATATATATATATATATATATATATATATATATATATTATGTTAGGTTGGCTTACATTTTACAATAAATTTATCAACACTATGTTTAAATATAACGATACATATATTCTAAGAAAACACTGTCACAAATCCAAAATTCTGTAATATTTAAGTTAAAAATGCAAGTTTGCATAAATGAAACTATATTTCAGATTTTGGGTCACTATATGCGTCTTTATGTAAACACCATTAAAAACGAATGTCTATGAAACAGAAAGAAACAAATGAAAATAAAAATGAAAATATAACAGAAAGCACTAGGACATACAGAAATCTCGGACAATTACCAGTTTTCATTTTTATTCATTATTATATATATATATATATATATATATATATATATATATATATATATATATATATATATATATATATATGTTTCATTAAATAATATAGACTTGTTTTTGTTTATTTATTTTATGTAAATTCTTTTCATATCGTCTGATAAGCTTAATAACATTATCATTAAACGAAGAAAGAAAATCACAATATTGATACATATTTTTTAATCCAATCTAAGCTTTCGGCTGACATAAGCCATTATCAAAGATGACAATTACGTTAAAATATATTAAGCAATACACGGACAAGAAAGTGATGATAGTATGTTTCTGTTTACATGGATGATTTCCAAGCAACGATGAACTCGTGCATTTAAGAAGCTGGAAGCGAAAATCGCACCGCAGCTCATGACGTCAAACATGAGCACGCGAGAGTGAATTCGAGAAGTTTTAAATATGAGAAGCCGTTGGTATAAAACAATGGCTTCTGTTACCAATTATAGACTTTTAAGAATATTTGTGGAGATTTCATAGTTTATTTTGTTCAGGTTAAGTTTCAACTGATTTATGTATATAGCTTCAAGAATATATACTTAAACATGACAACAATAAACAAAAACAAAAATTCTTAAAAAAATGTATCAATATTGTGATTTTCTTTCTTCGTTTAATGATAATGTTATTAAGCTTATCAGACGATATGAAAAGAATTTACATAAAATAAAGAGACAGCACGTGTCTATATTATTTGATGAAACATGTATGAAAAAATGCTGCCTAAATACACACAATATATATATATGTGTGTGTGTGTGTGTATGTAATAGCAAAATTGTCCAAATCGTTTTGAACCGTTGTATCTAAGAAATGATTAAAGATATATATACTTTTTATAACACTATTGGATTCTATTTTGAACTATAAAAAGAATCCTGATGGAATCGATCATAAACGAAAATGCCAATGTCTGCATGTGTATATGCCTGTGTATGTATGCATGTGTATGTGTGTATGTCTATATGTGCGTGTTTATGTGTATGTGAGTGTATGCGTATGCGAGCGTTCGTGCATGTGCGCGTATGTGTGTGCGTGTTTATGCGAGTCTCTTCACTTATCTAGCCTTCATCATGTCCTGTGTGTGTTAAATTCTCTAAGCTCGTTTTCCTCATTATGTGCCCTGCCAATTACAGACACCTTCCTACGCAAAAAACGTAAAGTGTTCAATGGCTCTAGAAATTGGCGTAAAAAACAGAACAGTAACGCGTTAAGCGCTCGTCGGCCGAAAAGAATCGAGGGCTTTTCTTATATAACCCCCTGATTGCTGTTTTTTATTAATTCGCACACTTACACTCTCACAGACACACACACACACACACACACACACACACACACACACACACACACACATATATATATATATATATATATATATATATATATATATATATATATATATTGCATCAGATTTTCATCACGCCCAGACACTATTGTCTCGACTGTCGATTAGTTGTCCAACGGCCATTGTCTGCGGTGGACGTTACTCCAGGGAAGCGTACGAATGTTGTAACGTTGCATGAACACACTGGCAAGCCTTACCAGTGAGCAAATCAAAGTACTATCGACTGGCTCGGAAACACTCCTGATTTAAATCCAGTTGAAAATATGTGGTCAGTCTGCAAGGAACGACTTCATGGAATGGGCATATGAAGTACTAACATATGCATTCGGTCATGTTCATTGGAAAAAATACAAAAAAAAAGTAAATAATAACGGAATTATTCGTATTGTTTCAATTAATTTGCACAAGGTCTATATATATATATATATATATATATATATATATATATATATATATATATATATATACTGCTAGAATACCAGAATTAAATGAAAATAAGATAGTAAGAGAGGAATAAAAAAAGATATTTAAAAAAGACAGAAACAGAAAAAAGGAAAAATGACAGAAAGATATAGAAAGCGAAAAACGGCACGAAAGAATAAAACAGAAAGTATCTAAAGAAGGAAAGAAATGATGAAAGAAGGACTAGAAGGAAGGACTAATAGGAAGGAAGGAAGGAAGGAAGGAAGGAAGGAAGGAAGGAAGGAAGGAAGGAAGGATTTCGATAGACAATAAAAGAAGAAAAAGAAGTAACAAAAAATAACGATACAGAATTTAACGCGGGAGAAGGAAGGAAGGAAGGAGGGAAGGAAGGAAGGAAACAGGAAAAGAAGGAAGGAAGGAAGGAAGGAAGGAAGGGAAACGAAGGAAAGAAGGAAGGAAGGAAGTGAAACGAAGGAAGGAAGGAGGAAAGGAAGGAAGTGAAACGAAGGAAGGAAGGAAGTGAAACGAAGGAAGGAAGGAAGGAAGGAAGTGAAACGAAGGAAGGAAGGGAGGAAGGAAGGGAAACGAAGGAAGGAAGGAAGGAAGGGGGAGAGGAAGGAAGGAAGGGGGAAAGGAAGGAAGGAAGGAAGGGAAAGGCACAACATAAAGAAAAAATGTAGAAAAGGGAAAGGATGGAAGAAAAGACAAAATAAAGAACAACAGAATGAATATGAAGGAGAAAGCAAATGAATGAAAAAACGTAACATTTCTTATATGATGAGGATAAAATAGAAGAATGAAGTGTAGAATGAATGGTAAAAATTTAAAAAAAATGAAAGGAAGAAGGAGTGATGTACGTATAAATTGTGAAAGAGAAAGTTCAGGAATTAAACGACAGAAGATAAAAAGAAAAAAGTGAAGAAAGAGAAAACGAAAATTAAATGAAGAAATAAAAGTATTGATAATTACAAAAAGACAAATGGCCAAGAAAATGTCACATAAATACAATGATGACAACAAGACTACTAGTATGGACCCTTGTTGTAATTGTAGAAATAGCAACCTGTGCCCAGTAGAGGGAAAAAGTAGTGCATCTAATGTTATTTATCAAGACACCATATGCCTCAAAGAAAATAGATCAAACCACCATGTTTATATTGGTATTAATGCGGGGCAATGGAAACAAGACTATATAAACATAGACACCCTTTTTCCAACTCAAGACTTAAGCACCAAAATGCTCCCTCCAAAAAAATCTTGGGAATTGAGGGAGAAAGACCTGAACCCGCAAATTGACTGGGAATTCATAGGTTTTGCTCGGACTCCAAGTAGATTTAAGGGTAGATGTAATTCATGTTTAGAGGAGAAAATTAGAATTATCAAATTTAATAATCAAAACCTTTTACTAATCAAAAAGAATGAATTGGTTTCCAAGTGTCGTCATAGAATTAATTTGCAGCTTATATAATATTTTCTCAAACTCGTACTTTCCTTCTTCTCTTATTTTTTTTATATGTAAATGGACGGCAGAACAGGGTTTAGGAGAGATAGCAAAAGACAAAATTTACTAAGAGCTACAAAGGTATGGAAATTGTGGAGAGCCATGATCGCCAATGATCTGAAGGGACATAGTATGTAGAAGATGAAAAAGAACGAGTTTGTGTAAATAGATGGCAGAATAGGGTTTAGGGGATATAGCAAAAAGACCAAATTTACTAAGAGCTACAAAGCAAAGGAAATTGTGGAGAGCCATGATCGCCAATGTCTGAAGGGACGTGGTATATACAAGATGAAAAATAACGAGCTTGTGTAAATAGGTGGCAGAATAGGGTTTAGGGGATATAGCAAAAAGACCAAATTTACTAAGAGCTACAAAGCAAAGGAAATTGTGGAGAGCCATGATCGCCAATGTCTGAAGGGACACGGTATATACAAGATGAAAAATAACGAGCTTGTGTAAATAGGTGGCAGAATAGGGTTTAGGGGATATAGCAAAAAGACCAAATTTACTACGAGCTACGAAGCTAAGGAAATTGTAGAGAGCCATGATCGTCAATGTTTTGAAGGGACACGGTGTATCGAAGATGAAAAGAACGAGCTTTTGTAAATGGGTAACAGAATAGAGTTTAGGGGATATAGCAGAATACAACATTTACTACGAGCTACAAAGCTAAGGAAGTTGTGGAGAGCCATGATCACCAATGTTTTGAAGGGACACGACATATAGACGATGAAAAAGAACGAGCTTGTGTAAATAGATGGCAGAACAGAGTTTATAAGAGGTAATAAAAATATAAACACATTTACTAAAAGTTACAAAGCTAAGGAAATTGTGGAGAGCCATGATCGCCAATATATATAGAAGATGAAAAATAACGAGCTTGTGTAAATAGATGGCAGTATAGGGTTTAGGCGATATAGCAAAAAGAATAAATTTATTAAGCGATACAAAGGACATGAAGCTGTGGAGAGTCATCATCTTCTACGTCCTTAAAGGACATTACACATAGAAGAAGAAGAAGAAGAAGAAGAAGAAGAAGAAGAAGAAGAAGAATTAGGATAATAATAATAATAATAATAATAATAATAATGGCGTATGTCATGTTATGCGTATGGGAAAAAGGTAAAATGCACTCCCAGATTTTGTATGGAACTCCACATAAATTGTCGAAAGGTGTGCTATTCTCAACCTGACGGTCTTCGCGAGCCTCATTTACCGTTCCACACATTACAAGACAAAGATGGAATGAAGTCTGTACAAAAGAATCGTATTTATTTCATATCTTAAGCATCTTGCATTGTAAAAGAGTTTGAAAAGTCAAACGATACATTCGGATACTCGAGCGCCATTGGTTCTTTTGTTATTATTTTTATTCCTTGTCCTTTTTTCTTTCCTTTTTTTCGTTATTTATTCTCCTTCTTTCTTCCTTCTTTCAGTCGTTCTTATTTTCTCGTTGATTCGGTCTTTTCATTTCTGCATTTTTTTTTGTTTCTTGCTTTTTACCTTTTTTTTCTTTTTTTTTTTTTTAATTCAGTCTCCTTCGCTTTCTGGGTGATTTTTCCTCTTTTTCATTCTGTTTTCTTTTATTTCTTTCCATTGTTTTCTTTCGATTCGTTCCCATTTTTTTTTCCTTCTTTTATTTGTTTTGATTATTTCATTACTTTTTTCTTTGATTCATTCGCTTATTCTTTCTCATTCTATTTCTTTTTTTTTCTTTTTGTCTTCATTTTTTTCTACTTTGTTTATATTCGTTATATTTTATTTTTTTATTTCATTCTTTCTCTTTCTTTCTCTTCTTTCTTTTTATTTGGTAAGGTTGGACTTTTTTTTCGTTCTGATTATTAGATGTTCTTTCTACTTCTTTCTTTTTCTTATTCTTTTGATCAACTCTCTTTTTCTTTTTCTTTTTATCATTTTTTTTCTTTGTCTTTTTTGCGCCTTTTTCGTTCTCTTTTCTTATTTTTTTAATTTTCCTTCTTTTTTTTTTTTCGTTTCCCTTTTTTTATTTCTTTTCTTATGTTCTCTCTTTATCTTTTCTTTTTCTTTCTTTCTTTGTTCTTTTTCTTTTTTTATCGGTTTAGTTTTCTTCTTGCTTTAATTGATACTCTTACTTTCCTCCTCCTTTTCCTTTTCTTTCTCTCATTCTCCGTATTTCTTTCTTTCGTTTTCTTTTCCTCATTTTCTTAAGCTTTTTTTTATTGGAAATTCTTTCTTTGTATTTCTCCTTAGTTTTCTTTACTTCGACAGAAGAGTTTCTTATCTCCTTTCTTTATTATTCTCTCTCCCTCTCCCACCCTCTCTCTCTCCCATCCTCTCTCTCTCACCCACTCCCATCCCTCTCTCTCTCCCTCTCTCTCTCTCTATCTCTCTGTCTCTCTCTCTCTCTCTGTCTCTCTGACATACACTCTTTATCTTATAATTTTTTGTCCCCAAATCTTTCAATGTACCTGATAGGAGTTTCTACCTCTATTTTTCTTCTTCTTTTCTTCTTCTTTTTCTTTCTTTCTTTCTTTCTTTCTTTCTTTCTTTCTTTCTGAGGAGATATTTCTTTGATTCTCTCTCTCTCTCTCTCTCTGTTAGTCATCTTTCCTATTCCTTTTACTCTTTCGTTCGCTTTCTTTTTCATTTCTCTCTTCTTTTTTCTAAGACTTCTACGTCTTTTTTTTTTTTAATTCAGACTGCTTGGGAATACCAGCTGCTGTAAGCTTGGATGTGCGGGTGGTGTAATCGATAATGGCTCGAAGTTGTTAATCGGAGAGCCGAGTTCCAATTCTAGTTGGGTTTTTATATTCACTTACGCACAAAGACACTTGGGAAACGTATGAATTCACATCTTCTCGTCACAGCTATGGGTTAATTAGTAAATGTTGTATCATTAAAAAATTATTATTTCCCCCCTCCAAAAAAAAAATTCTTACTATCTAAAAATATTTTCTGTCTTTAAATAACCTGCAAAAAGTCGACCAATTTTCTGATTACATTATCCCAGGCACCAATGTCTTTCTTTTTTGTTCGTGAAGGTCGCAAGTTCACCACAGACCTCAAATGGAACTCCTGTATACGATCGATCACTAAAGATTATCGGTACAGAACTTATCTGACGCATCCTGTCATGATCTATCTTAACAAGATCAAGATGAGGTCAAAAATAGAGTATCATTGTTATATGTGGGTTTTAGCTGCCCAATCCGTTGTATCCCCCCCCCTGAACGAGTTTTAAAGCGTCTCTGCGTCTGTGCGAGTGATGAATTATTTTCCAACCCGCAGTTCCTCTCCCACTGGCGCAACGTCATAAGCCTGTCCTTACTCTATCGCTATTTCCATGGCAAATGTTTAGACAAGGTACATTCCTCCGTTCCGCCAGTTCAGACCTTCACATCGAGGATTCCCCATGACACGTACTCATGGTCGAATCACTACGCTCCTTTCGTAATTCATTGGGAATTAAAAAACACACTTTTCACGAGAACCGCTTTTTCGAGGAAAAGACTCCCGAGGGGATGCTTCTCCTATCACTATGATCTTAGTCTTCAACTTCTATCTAGCCTGTTTGTCCCCATAATCGTCACTCCCTGTTTCCTCCTCTTACGTCCATCCATCAGCCTCATTTAGTAACCCTCTAACTTGAGTGGCTCTTAGGCCTTGTATTGGGTGAACACTTATTTTCATTTTATTTCTTTACCCTCCACCCCACTTATCTGACAGAGCTTCACTTCATTGCCTATGATCACGTGATGTCATTTCTCAAAGCTGATTGGTTGGTTCGTTTGTATTTCAAAGTTCCAAATCAATTGTATTATTCTTTCTCAAAAACAGATTCTGGTTTGTGTTTAAAGTTATGCTTCTGTGTTCAAATAGCAATCGCTTGCACAATTCTCAGTGAATCGGCATTCCTAACCAAACATGTTTTCATACACTAGGTACTGCCAATAATTATTGTTTTTCTAAAAAGATTTCTGCTCTTTTATCATATCTTGGCCCCGAGAAGTATTCCTTCCTTATTTTTTTTTTCTTTCACTTCGTTCTCTTTTATTGAATTTCGTTTTTTTTTTATTTTATTTATTTATTTATTTATTTATTTTTTGGTAGTTAAATTCCTTTTGCTGCTACATGTTTTCCTTTCCGTGGCTCTAACATATTCACACATCGGTTTACGGTAATTTATTCCAGTTTTCTTTTTAAATCAGTTATTTAGCACGTACGCTATTTCCTGCCACTACATCAAATAAATAATGGACCATTGGGTTTTGAAAAAGATATAGCACAGATGTTGTTCGGTTTCAGTGAGGAAAAAAGGGAAAGAAAGAAAGAAAAATGGTAACAAAATAGCTGATGTTTAACGTTTTCTTCAGAGAAATGAGAAAAAAACTTGTCAGTTTCATTTGTACCGACATGTATCCCCCCCCCGCCAACCACCACCAGCCGTTGTCAGGTTGTGACACAGGGTGGTTTTGTATCGTGGAGATCCGAGTGGAAAAACTCGGGCCGCTGGTCTAATCTGGTTTTAGCCTGTCTAATCTAGTCTTAGCTGGTCATAGCTTGTCTAACCTGGTCTTAGCTTGTGTAAGCTCGTCTTAGCTGGTCATAGCTTGTCTAAACCGGTCTTAGCTTGTGTAAGCTCGTCTTAGCTGGTCATAGCTTGTCTAACCTGGTCTTAGCTTGTGTAAGCTCGTCTTAGCTGGTCATAGCATGTCTAAACCGGTCTTAGCTTGTGTAAGCTCGTCTTAGCTGGTCATAGCTTGTCTAACCTGGTCTTAGCTTGTGTAAGCTCGTCTTAGCTGGTCATAGCTTGTCTAACCTGGTCTTAGCTTGTATAAGCTTGTCTTACCTGGTCATAGCTTGTCTAACCTGGTCTTAGCTTGTGTAAGCTCGTCTTAGCTGGTCATAGCTTGTCTAACCTGGTCTTAGCTTGTGTAAGCTCGTCTTAGCTGGTCATAGCTTGTCTAACCTGGTCTTATCTTGTGTAAGCTAGTCTTAGCTGGTCATAGATTGTCTAACCTGGTCTTAGTTTGGTTAAGTTAGTCTTAGATGGTCATAACTTGTCTAAGCTAGTCTTAGCTTCTCTAACCTAGTCTTAACTGGTCATAGCATCTCTAAGCTGGTCTTAGCTTGTCATCTAGTCTTAGCTGTTGATAGCTTGTCTAATCTATTCATAGCTTGTCTAAACTGGTCTTAGCTTGGTTAAGCTAGTCCTTGCTGGTCATAGCTTGTCTAAACCGGTCTTAGATTGGCTAAGCTAGTCTTAACTGGTCATAGCTTGTCGAAGCTGGTTTTAGCTTGTCTAAGCTGATGTTAGCTGGTCATAGGTGGTCTTAGCTTGTCTAAGCTGGCCATAGCTTGTTTAAGCTGGTCAGATCTTGTCTAAGTTGGTCTTTGTCTAAGCTACTCATAGTCGGTCATACCACCGTTATGTAACACGTTACGCAACGGTGGGGGTGCGCAAGGAAGGAGAGAAGGCCTCCAGCACAGAACAGATACTACATCTCCCAGCATCCATCCCGACGGGAAAAGCCTACTTCTACTCCTCTGCTAATCCCTCCAGAAGAAAAACCAGTGGAAAGCACCGAAAGCAGGACGACCCCCTCGTTATATCATCTGTACCCAATTCTTTAGATAATGACCTATGTTCAAACTGAAAAATTATGATTCACTAAAAATTAAAATAATAACCCTTGAAATTTTCACAGACACTATCAGTTTTTATTAATGTTCAGAAAATGTTACTTGGTACAACAGGAGACCAAAATGAAGTAGATTAAGAATTGGAAGATTGTATAGCGTCATTGATTCTGAAGTGATTACCTGGGCTTGAACACCGATCACCAGGGACAGCCTACTTGCTAAATTTATAGTAGCCTGGCACAAGATCATCGAAAGAGCGCTGGCACTATTAGTTTTTATTAATGTTCAGAAAATATTACTTTGTACAGCAGGAGACCAAAATGAGGTAAATTAAGAATTGGAAGATTTTATAGCGTCATTGTTTTCGGTTCTGAAGTGGTTATCTGGGATTGAACAACGATCACCAGGGACAGCCTACTTGCTACATTTATAGTAGCCTGGCACAAGATCATCGAAAATAGAGCGCCGACACTATTAGTTTTTATTAATGTTCAGAAAATATTACTTTGTACAGCATGAAACCAAAATGAGGTAGATTAAGAATTGGAAGATTGTATAGCGTCATTGTTTTCGGTTTTGAAGTGGTTATCTGGGGTTGAACACCGATCGCCAGGACCAGCCTTTTTGCTAAATTTATTGTAGCCTGGCACAAGATCATGGAAAATAGGGCGCTGAAAGCGGATTGAATAATCTCTGAGGGAAGTGTTTATCAATGTCTTAGCAGTAAATTGCTCATGGTTTGCTTTATCTTGGCGTTAGAATCATGAGACACCCAATGAGGATCAGCGTCCCAGCATTAGTGAATTACCTATGGAATGCCTTGCCAAGTTGTTTGATTACTACAAAGACATTCTTTCTATTATGCAATCCTTGTTTCTTTCTTTCTCTTTCTTTCGGTCTATCATCCGTTCTCTTCGCCTTCCCCTACATTCTTTCCTTTTTTCTATCTCCCATTGTACGCTCCTGACAAGCCCGCTTCCATTTTTCTTTCAGAATGCCTGTACGTCTTCCCATCTGATACATGCTTAAAGCGCTTAAGACTAATAGTTACCATCTATGAAATCAGAAGAATGCTAACACATTCCTAATCATTTGACTTCTTTAGTAAATAAACCTTTTACACATACACGCATAAAAGTAACGAAAGAATATCTACTGATAAATGGAATACCTGAGAAACAATGCATTTTTTACCACGAGGTTCACCGTTTACAAGTCCCGTTTGGAGGCCATTTTTGTGTACAGGACTGGAAGATAACGGTTAATCCTGACTGTTTTTTTTACATTTTCTTTTTTGCAGTAAGGTTCACCCTTTACAAGGCCCGGGGGCCGCTCGGGGTAGAGGGTTACGTTTGCTGGTCATTTGTGTATATAGGAGTGGAAGATAACGGTTAACCCTAGCCTTGAACAGGTTAAGATTGTAGTGACCAAGGAAACATCCAGAGCAGTGGTTCCCGGGAAGAAGCTGTTCGAGTCATATTTATTTCTCACCGATGGAATACGGGGGGAATGTGAGTGATTTGCTACTATGTAAGTGGCATAGAGTGTTCTTGCCGTAAAGGTTTGACTTGGCGCACTAGGGGATGTCTTTTTCGACTCATGACTGACTTTCTTTTACATTTTCTTTTTTACAGTAAGGTTCACCCTTTACAAGGCCCGGGGGTCACTCGAGTTAGAAGGTTACGTTTGGAGGTCATTTGTGTGTATAGGAGTGGAAGATAACGGTTAACCCTAGCCTTGAACAGGTTGATTGTAGTGACCAAGAAAACATCCTGATGAGAGTCGGTTCCACAGGGCAGTGGTTCCCAGGAAGAAGCTGTTCGAGTCAAACTTAATTTCTCACGATAGAATACGGGGGGAATGTGGGTCATTTGCTACTATGTAAGTGGCATAGAGTGTTCTTGCCGTAAAGCTT